ATTTCCGTTACAAATACTTGTACTTTTTCCCTAAAAAAGTAACGAAAGTACAAGTAAAAGTACTAAATTTAAAAAGTAACGAAGTACAAGTAAAAGTACGTACTTTTTACTTGTACCGGTGGAACAAGTAACGAAAGTAAAAGTACTGCCATATATGCTACTAAGTATTGATTAAGTATCACTTTAAAAAAATGCAAATCTAAGATAGATCTGACTATTTGTTGCATAATCTTTTTTGTGATACAGATATTGTAATACTGTATTTATTATTAAATTCTACTTTAAATTACCTTCAATTTGATATATAATCGTTTATATTTAAGTGAAAATTAATATATTCTACAAGCACACAAAGTTGAAAAACATGAAACTTTCAAAAAGTGTCCACACTTTTGGCCATCACTGTAATAATGACTCGTGAAGAATTGTGCAAATAGTAATTACTTTTGACGAGCTTTATTTGGGTCAATATTATCCCACTACTTTCTAAGTACTCTTTTTCTCTAAGTACTTTCTTTCAAGATACTATTTCTCTCTCGTTTCTCTAAGAATGTTTATTTAAGTTTAACCCGCAACTAAATGTTGACTTTTACTTGTTTTTCTAAATATCGTATCGTTTCTCTAAGTATTTTTTTTTATTGCTTTTCATCACTTATTGCTACACATTTCCACACGATTATGTAAATAGCGATATTTTTAATATATGTACTCGAATTGCGCTTTATTTGTGTTAATATCATCACAAATTTATGATATTTTTTTATTGTTCATTCTACAGTTGTTGTGGGTAGGCTTTCCCACGGGGTTTCGAAAATCCTGGTATTTTTAATCCGGTATTAAAAAGACTTGCGATTTTCGAATCAGGCATTTAATTATTACTTTTGATGCATTTTTTTTATTATTTTTTTTTATTAATATTTTTTGTTTTGAAAAAAGTTGTTGTTACTTAGTTCCACGTTTTTTTTAAAACTCGATATTTTTAATTCACGCGAAATTCAAAAGTGGGTTCTTTAACACCTTAACGATCGGCTAATTTTCAAGAAAACGGTCATAGAAGTGCCTATTTTTTTATTAGTGCTATTTGATTAGTGCTGACATTTAGTTCAAAAGAAATTAACTATCTACAATTACCTTAAAAATATCCTGGTACTGTCATCTGGTGCGTAAAATGAGAAATAAATTGTTTTCCGGGCAAAAGAAATGAACTAGTTTTATTCTTATTGGCACGTTACAACTGAACACTCCAGCCCGGAAATATCACGGGAGCGAGAAATAGAGGGCGAAACCTCACCCCGTCATTTTCTCGGGAGCGAGAAGGAAGGAGTTAAACTGTTTACAGAATTTTTTCTAATTTTTGTTAACTTAAAGTGCTTAGAAAACTATTTTACGATTTAACATTCATAAAATCTCTTATAATTCTCTAAATAAAGAAGTTATAAAGCTAAAAATATACTGAAATGAATCCCCAATGAATGCTGAGTCTTATTTAGAGCAATAATGCGTTTTTTTTAAAAATCATTTCTGACCCCATATAATTTTTTAATTAAAATATTTCATTTGCTTTTATTACTCAACAAAATATTTATCTTTTTTTATTTTCTATTTTCCTTCAAAAACATTAGGGTTAATTTATTTTAAAATAAACTTTTGCGATACGGGATATGATAAAAACCATCTTTATTTATTTTTTTTGACAAACCTGTTTTTCGATCAGAACCTGTTTTTTTGTGAAGTATTAGCTTAGTATTCTTTAGTTTGGAATAAATTTTAACACTTAAAATAATTTAATTTTATGTAAATGTATAGCTAAATTGACTAGTGAAAATTAAATGAAACAATTATTTAAAAGAATTTAATTTTATTATTTTAATTTTACTAAGTTACCTGATAGAAAGAATTGTGCCTGAAACACTGATATATATGAAATTATCATAATTGCAGACAACCTGTCTAGGTACTTGGACATGCAGCCCTCCACTGAAGAATGGGTTGTTAACCCAAGCATTTGAATCACAATATTTTTTTAAATTCACTTTTCAAATAATAGTAATAATTCAATTCCTCATTAATTAAAATAAAAATAATTTAAATTAAAATATACAATTTCAAATTCATAAACTAATGTACATTAAAATGGAATGAATGATTTTAAATACCCAAATATATCTTCATAGTGTGCTTGTTTCATATTATAATTTTTAGAAAAATTAAGTCTAAGATAGGGTGCATGAATAAATCTTACAGGTGGGCGCACCTAAGTCTCTGTACGCCACTGGGAAGAGCTGACCTGCATCCAATTGAAAAAGATATTTAAGAGTTAATTTTAAAAGAGAAAAAAAATAATTAACTGAAGGATTGAAAATGAATGAAACTCATTTGTGACCTTCATCCAATTGAAAAGGATGTTTAGGAGTTAATTTTGAAAGAAAAAAAAATTAACTGAAGGATTGAAAATGAATGAAACTCATTTGTGACCTTCATCCAATTGAAAAGGATGTTTCGGAGTTAATTTTGAAAGAAAAAAAAATAATTAACTGAAGGATTGAAAATGAATGAAACTCATTTGTGACCTCCATCCACGCAAATTGTGTTATTGTTCGGATAGGAGATGGACTGAGGAACGCATCCAATTTCTTTCATCATGTTCTCAATCGCACAATTCTCCTGACACGTCTGCAAAAAAAAGATACATTTTTAATACTAATAAAATTAAGTTGAATGTATACACTTCATTTAAATATTTATTTAATCCTAGATAAAAACGTTTTTTAGAAGACTGAAAAGGAGAAAGTTATACTTTTGTCAAATCTGACACAGAAAACGTAAGAAAGATGTGTGAAGAGATTTTAGGGAAGTGAATAAGAAGTGAATTATGAAAGCGATGCGCCCAACGTCCTTCGCGTTTTTATTTTTTGGATGAAAATTTGATTTTTTTTCTTCTTTTCGGATGAAAAATTGATTTTCTTCTTCTTTTTGGATGAAAAATTGATTTTTTTTTCTTTTTGGAAAGAAAATAGATTCTTTTCTTTTTTTGGAAGAAATTTTTTTTTTCTTTTTGGATGAAAAATTGCTTTTTTTTTCTTCTTCTTGTTTTTACTTGAAAAACGGAGATTTTAAAAATCTTTGTTTTACTTCATTATTTTTTCTTCTCAGTTTTTTTAATCTGTTAGTTTGTTATATCCGAAAAAGAGGTCGAAATTTCGATTGACGATAAAATTTGATTGTAGCTCGTAGGAAGCAAATTATAAATTGTATTAATTTACCGCTTTACGTCATGGGGGAGGGGGAGATTTAATGATGAATATGTCAGTGAGGTACTGTACTGAGAGCTTTACATATACATAGATTACACTGTTAATTAGGTTAATTACCTCCATATATATATCTATATATATA